TTACACTGGACAAATTTCATCTGGGTGCAGAGGACCAGCAAAGTCTACATTCAAATCCTTACATCCCACCTGCACATCAGATCTAAGTAGAGAGGTTTAGCTCATAACTGTTATGCTATCCTTCTGGAAAGGAGTGAAATGCAGGGGGGTTAAGAGACTTTTTCTATACTTGTTCACATTTGCACAGAGACAGAGAGAAACCCAAGGTCTTGGGATACTGCTATGAGTTTTCAAGTAATACTGGTAGTTGCCACACAATGAAACACTATTCAGGTGAGGAGAATGTGCATAAGAACCAAGAAGAGAGAAGTCTGAATGGAGATAAAAAGTCATCAGTCATCTTTTATTTAAAAAGGGAAGGAAAAAATAAAATTTGAGGAAAATAAGTGCTTTCTCCTGGAAATACACGAGACCTAAGAACAAGCACATGGTGATTAGACTTAAACTACTGGATCATCATCTGTAATCCAGGTAATGATCTTTAGTAGGTCTGGGTACAGAATAAAGATAGACCTATTCATGTATCTGCCCAATTGAAAAGAAATTTTAACATTTTAAATCATCTGAATTTTTAAGGGACAAGAACTCCTGAGCTTTATGTGCTCAGTCCTGTGGCCTGCTCAGCTGGCTGCTGTTGCAGTGGTGGCTTACTTAGCTCCAGGGCAAGAAAAAGACCTTGGTTGGCAGAGAGCTGCAGAGGTCCATATAGGACAAGTGCCAGACAACAGTCTCCAAGGATATTTAAAAAGTCCTCTGCAAGTCCCTCCTTATAACTCTTCTCCCATAATTCCTAAACATACAGATGGTTTCATTGCTGGTGGGCCACCTTCTAGGGTAAGGATTGTGCCAAGTTAAGAATGCTTACGATACTGGCATTTCTACATGCTGCTGCACTAAAAACAACAAACAACAGACCGCTTCTCTTCCAAGCTTCTGGTACACAGGAGGCTCCCAAAGAGAGAACAAAACAGAATCAGAACAACTCCTGCACTCTTCCTCAACCACAAGCTGATTAGGTTAATAAGCAGCTTGGGAATGCCTTACAGAAGCCATAACTGGGTTCTAAGTGATATTTGGAAACTGGCATTACTTTAGTCCAGATGGCTACAAGACCAGATGTACGTTGGCTTATACGTGCCCCCTTCTTCCAGCTCCACACTGAGCATAGCTCCGGCCAGTAGCAGAGTCTGCCCCTTAACTATCTCCGTTAACTACTGTAAAGAGTGCTAACACATTCACGGTCCGTACGTGAACTCAGTAAGACAGCAAGAGAGGAGCCACAAAGGGGGTCGCTCAAGGGAGAGCAGTAATTTAAGAAGCCCACGTCAACATAAAAAAAAATGCACCTTGTTTTTTTTATGGCATGATCCTGCCCACAATTTTGTTTCTCAGATGTGGAGAAGTGGGACCTCCTTATTAGTCTGAACATAATCTGCATATCATATTTTCCAAGACTTTACCATCATTTCTCTTCAGCAGTCTTCACAGGAGATGCTGAAATATACTGCAATTGTTGAAGAGAAAAGGAGAGGAAAAAAACCCTAATGAAATTATTTATACTTTCAAGGAACAAAACAACGAGATGATATTGTCTTGAATGACCTTTCCTAAGTATGGGGATATAGCATCTTACACAATAGACTCTTGGTTCATGTTTCAATTACTGACCTTTACTGCGGAGAAAATTAATGCAATTTTCATCGTAATCCACCCGTACAAATAAGATCCATACGGAAGGTTCCCACATGCTGAATCTAATACAAATGGAAAATGTCAGCTGTTTGCTACTGGATGAATTTGATTTTAATTTGTTCAGCTGGAGTCTTTTTGAACTGTACTCGTAAGACTTGGTGATTTTGGGTACCTAGTTTTGACAGAGAATTTCATACATCAGAAACATTGCATTTTTCCTTTTGGGGGATTTTTCCTCCCTCTTTTTTCCCTAAGCATAAGATACTCAAAATTTCTTGGAAGTTGCCAAATAACTTGGCTTAAAGTCATGGGTATCATTTGATCCTACTCTATTATGTCCCACTAGCCAAGCAGGGCTACACTGGCTCACCACTGGCTGGAAGATGCCCAAGGAAACAGGAACTGGTGTTGATTTAGTTTTATCTCTGATTTTCTTTTGAATCAATTTCTAGATCTGGTAATAGTAGTAACTTAGTTCTGTCTGTTTTGGAGGAAATGCAAACTCTAATCCGGACAACTTAAGGTCATGAGAAGACTCCAAGATTCTTTCCAGTGGAGTGTTATGACACGCTTATTCACAAGGTATCTGTCTGCTTGAAGCTCTACAGTCTTTGTCCAAAAAAAAAAAAAAAGGTTAATTAAATAAAAATAGACAACAATCAGACAAAGTACATACATTTTGAGTTGCATGTAACTTGTCTATACCTTTCCACTGGTGGACGAAAGATGTTTCAGTGATGTAATTTTAAAACAATCCTTATTCAGACAGCCTGACAGACCCCAGAGCTGACACAGCGCAGCCTGAGCTCTACATCCAAGACGGCAAGAATCCGAGAAAGCACTCCTCCCTCCGCGGCACAGCTTGTGCCAAAGGGACACAGCACCCTTATCTTCTGTCGTCCTCTACACTGTTATTTGGGGAGGAGAGAGGGGGGAAGAAGGGGAAAGAAAGGGGGAGATGGCAATTAAGCCCTGTCATTTAAGACAGATCGTTTAGGTGGAAGGGAGTTAATCTGCTCTTGGGCTTTTGAACTAAGCGTCTGTGTATTTATAATTTGTAAACAGTTCATCTCTTGGAGGGTGTGTTACAATTCCCAGAAGCATGGTCTGTTATGTCTAACATGCAGCAGAACCCAGAAAAGCTATGTGTGCGAGTATTTTGATACAACACGATGACAGGAAACAGAAACAGTGACCTCGTATACCACAGCCCAGCTAGCGGATTTCAACTTCAGGAGTTCTTGTATTAGGGAGGAAAAAAAAATACACAGACTTCTTTTTAAAGTATAGTTGTCTGTTTAAATGTTGACATTACAATGAGATAATGTCATAAAATTACATTTTTCTTATACTCCCTAGAGCACTTTGGCCACCCTCAGACTTGGAAAGGTCACTTTGAATAACCTAATACACTTAAAGATGCAGTCTTTCCTCAGTGCGTATTCATGGTCCATCACGGGTGTTAAGGGGGATATACGTAGGACAGCGGGCAGATATTAAGGCAGTGCTGCACAGGACATGGGACAAATTGCAGTAGTTGGCAACTCACTCACTCTCCTGGTAATTCTGTGTCAGGACCCCATAGACCAATGACTCTAAAATCCAAATTAATCCAAGTTATGGATTAGGATTGCTCTTACGCTGAGATAGAAACAGTTCTGTTGATGGGAAAGCCTGCTGTAGCTGTGTACAGTGAGTTGCTTTAGCCAGTTCTACCAGTTCTCCATTTCTGAGAGTGTTTAATGCATGCAGTAAGACAGAGGCAACGTTGATTATGGCAAAATTGTAGAGCCAAATCAACAGCAGAACATAGACTTGCAGTTTTCCCAAACCAGCACACTTAATCAAAATAAACCAACAAAAAAAATGACAGTAGAGTTGTTTAGCAGGGGGCAAAACATACAAGGTGACTAGATCCTTATCTCAGTGACCCAGTTGCATATACACAGAGAACCCAAGTTAGTAAAGTTGTATCTGTAGTAAGCCTGTAGTAAACCCACAAAATAGAAATTGTCTATAAGAGATATGCACTATTCATTTGAAAATAATGAAACTGTCATTTAACAATTCTTTCTTAGTTCCAGATATTATTATATTCTGCTTCCATTTAGTTGGCCAATTTTACAATGCAAATGGTGAATAATAAATGAGAACATTCAAATCATTGTTGTGCTTTCCAGAAACCTGTAATTCAACTAGGCTGTCTACACTTCATTTTATAGCTTTGATGGATTTCTGGTTGCTCATTAAAATATAACAACCACAAAAGACTAGGTTAAATTTAAAGCAACTCTTCCCATCAGTCTGCTGAGCTCCAATTCTAACGTCTACCACTGAGAGCTAAGGTGCAACTGCTACCTATGGTATTGATTCATTTCTCAGTGATCAACAATTTCACTGTAACAGTCTCTTAAAACAGAGAATATTCAAGAAGATGCTTATTAACTGAGTATGCAATCTTAAAGTTTCACATAGCCTTGCAAATATTTTCTTCTTAACAGCTAATGTTCCTTTGCATGCTGTTGCTCATTAAATAATTCCTCACCTTTTAGCTCTAAAGTATTTATAGATTATCAGATCCTCCTTCACTTGCTTATGTTTTTTCAAGCTGTATATATTAAGTTCTCTTAATCTTTCTTCATATGTCATGCCCTCTAATCTTTTTATCATTTGTCACTGTGGTTTGATAAACTTCAAAAAAACTCCAATGGATTTTTCACGGTGAGAAGAACGAGGAAGCGTGCTCCAATAAAATAAGAAACTAGCCTCGCCAATTCCCATTCTTTCTACATTTCAGCAGACAAACTAAAACCAGTTACTCTCCCAGCTCTAAAAGAAATGTTGAAAAACTCTAACCAGCCCTCCACAAATCACAGCAGTTCTGGCCTCCAGAAGAGGAAATGCCAAATAATTTGGGGAAAACCATTAGTACAGAATGCCCATCAAAAACTGGAAATGGAAGTGATGAGAAATTTTATATGCTCATGCATGTCTGTGTACCTCACCCAACCATACACATGCACATACAAGCATACACGTACATGTTTCTGTTATGATTTCAGGAACAAACTGGAGACTCCACAGATTAAAATGAAGTTCACATATTTCACGCAGGTAACTCCACTGCTGAATGTTACGCAAACCAAGCTTCTCTTATTTTGAATTTTGCCAATCGGTCAACTGGTAACAATTGTTTTTCCAGTTAATACAGAGAACACCTGCAGATCGCACAGAGTTAAGATGATGGGTTTGTGCTCTCCCATGTTGCTTCTGATTCTAGCTAACACGCTATTGTGAGATGTACTTACCTTGTCATCTTCATCATCATCTTCATCCAAGCCCATAAGCTCCTGCAAAAGCAGATGTCCGTATTAGAAAACATTACACTTAACTTCTCAGTGACAGGCAGTGTTCAAAAAGCTCATGAAACTCCCACAGCATTTTATTATACAGTTTTCTCCCACTACTATTGCAAGTCATTTAAAAAAACCCATCACTTTCACCTTTCAGAAGCAACGTTTTGTGTTCAAGGACTTCTCTTTTTTGTGATATCCTGAACAAAGCATGCAATACCCTATACAAATTTTAAGTCTAAATAAAACCATTAGTGGCTGTGTCCGGTAGTTTGAAGGCAACAGGCTTTCAAATTCATTGCCAACTTTTACTGTCTGTAAACAGCTTTGTTCTTAGTGTGACAAATGAACCAGTGGGTATGTCAAGGCTAAGGATTCTATACTCAACTTGTTCCATCCTCACTGCTACAATGACTGCTCTCTCCCTTTAGGGCCATTACTGAAACATTAGACAGTAGAAAATACTTTAGTAGGAACATAATCAATCTCACGAATGACATACAGATTTCTACATGGCATTATTTCCTCCCTCTAACTTCTGCGCTGACAGGTAGGGGAGAAAACAAAAGACTTGGCTAAGGCTTGAAATTAGGATCCACTTGGCTTTCAATTCAAGTGTTTTATAAGCTGAGCCTTCAACAGGGCCCTCCAAGTTTTTCTTGGTTATTTAATAGGAATATTTGAATCACTATATTACAAGTTTAAATAATAGCTAACATGCAAAGAATGTGAAGAATCACAATAAAAGATATTCTGGCTTTTGTTTTTTTTCAGAAAAGCAGTTGCATCAAGTATGCAGAAAGCACTGAGAGCTCAGACACCCAGATTTACTCTTTGGCTCCCTGGAATACCCTAAGCAGCTGAATTAATACTGATCATGGTTTACATTTCTGTAGAAGCTCCCATCTGCAAATCATAAAGCATTTTACCAATACTCATGAATTTAGCCTCCCAGCAACTGGGATCACGCATACAAGGTTAATATTGTTATCCCCATTTTATAGCACAGAAATCAGAGAAAGAATCTGAGGTCTTTTCCAAAAACCATTGCTTTCTTTCTTCTACATACACAAAAAGTGCATGCTGGCACACATCGAAAAAAGGTAGCACGCATGCACTGAGATCCAAAAATTCAAAAAAAAAAAAAAAAACTGTGCAAAAAGCCCTAGTATTTTGAAGAAAACTTTTTCTCATCTGCAGGACAGATGAGTGACTAAGAGTAGCACCTGATTGTCTGTTTTTGACCTACAGATGGTCAGCATCATAAATGCATACCATGAAGAGACCAGGTAATATTAAAGGCACTTTGACTAACTACTTGTTCCATATGATCCCAAACCCGCAAAGCACATGTGTAACTTTTGCTTATGCAAAATGCACCGCTGATGTACATGGCATAGCATTGCTCATGAGCTGTAACAGGAAAAGAGTCAACCTGTGTACAAACCTTTCTCGAGCATAGTTACAATTAACCTGTATTTTCAGATAAATGCTTTCCATAGCATCCACCAAAATAATGCAATATTCAACCTCTCGAACTTGTATGGGACACCCCACACTGGACTGCGCAATAGATTCACCACAGGAAGAGTGATGGGCACTAGGAGGTATTCGTACTGCATTTTATCTGGTAAGCTGATAAGCTGGACTCACTATTATTTTACATTGTTTTGTATTAAAAATAAAAAAGAAAGAAAGAGAAAGAGAACATTGTCTGGGATTCTCCCACACGGAAATTCTCATTTTCTTAACGAAATAAATGATCCAAAGAACACGTACAATATATTTCAAAGGTTGTCTAGACTTAGCTAAGATTGGAGTTAAGCACTTCCCTTACCATTTGTCTTCATGTCCAATCCATGTCCTGGTCTGCATAATGTGATTTTCCCTAGGTTTTAAATACTTCTTTCACTTAGGAACAACTGAAAACTGAACTAGGAGAACTTCCATTACTAACACTAATATAACAGCTACTGACTCTTTTTAATATTAGGATATTATTTCTTTGTACAAAATCCATGTGATCAGCTTGGGGAGTATTCTTCATGGGTACAAATGTCAATCATTTTTTTTCCAAAAGCCGGAAAGGAGCCAATTCTGCCTGTATTTTATTCCCATACTTGTTACAGGTTTAAAAACAGATTATTACAGTTATCCATGAATTTACTTGCTTCATTTCCAACTTTAATTAACAGTTTCATGCAAGTAAAGACAGGGGTCAAAGTCAGGATTAAGTTCAAACAGCTTTTCATATCCCACAAACAGCACTTTGCCACATGTTGTAATCATTTTTGGATATAAGTCCTTTCCCTCTACTAGATCAAGTTAAGAAACTGAAGGCTAGATTTTAAAAAGTGTTTATCACTGATATGGAGGGGGGAAGGGTGAAAAAGGTTTTTTCCTAAAGTCTCTGATCACAGGACAAGGTTTAAAAAACAAATAACTTCTCTGTTCAGCTTCCATTGACTTTTCTCTTCTGTGAATCATGAATCACCAGTGTGATGCAAAGTGTAAGAGTGCCAGGGCATGGGGTGTTGGGTCTTGTCTCTTTATAAGTCTGTCTTAATTCAAATCAGTTAAAACATTTGCAGTTATTTAATAAGTCAAATCTCCCTCCCACACACTTGTCTCCTTCCCCCTACTACTCTGAATGGTCTATTGCATGAATTGGGTCATGAAAATTGAGAGGGCTGAGGTTTCTTTCCAGTAACTCGGAAATAAAAATGCTGCTTAGCTACACAACTAGCTTAATAACATTAAAACGTGTGACATTTTGCTCACGGGCAAATTCAAGCTGGCTCTGCCAGCAGCGTTACTGCTACTTTACTTGCCTGGGCATCTTGGGTGCTGCTGACCTTCCCGTTTGTGACAAGAGAGAAGTTGTAAGCAAAGAGCACCAGCAAAGCCAGGGGCACCATGTAAAGTTCCACGCTCCATACGGTGACCACAAACACCTGGGAAAAAGAAAGCAACAGAAGGGGATACATGAGTGTTTGAAGAGAGAGACGTATAAGCTGCCCTTTCAGTCATTATCCCTCCAAACAGTCATCCTTGAATCTCAGTTAACCTCATTCATATTATCATTTTGACAAAGAAAATCTGCTCAGAAAGTGTATTCTCCTTCCATTTTGTTTAAACAAAAAAAAATTTCCCTCCGTTCCTGGTGAGGAACAAGGCCGCGAACATAAGGTTAGTCCAAGGGCATTATCCACTCCTTCCTGGGGCGCCTCGAGCCTGAATACCCAGGCTCGCTATTGAATCCTTAGCGCTAGCGCACAACAGACCCACTTACAGAGGTAAAGCTGCTTCGCTGATTCAAACTAATTGCCAGGGGGGTTTCCACAGGCTTGAGGAGAAATTCTGCCTCTTATCCACCAGGAACTGTGCAGTTCTCCCTTCACTACATCGGGGACAATCAGCAGATCCATCTTCACCATTTATCCACCCGCGTTCTTCTTGGCACAGAGGCGCTGAGCAAGGACGACCAGCCTGCAGCAGGCAAGGCTCTAGCTTGTGCGTGATTTTGGGAAGGGATCCAGGGAGCCTACTCTCCATTCCCATTCCCCTGCCATTTTTTCAGCACAGCATACTCTGATTTCACAGGCGGCTAAGGCTCTCTTTGTCCAGAAAGGGTATAATCTGGGGCACTAGCAGTGGTACCTGACCAAATCCACAGATACCAAACGCACAAGTCAAATTTCAAAGTAAACACTCTGCAAACTGAGTCAGTAAAAAATGTAACAAACATGATGGAGATTATAAATTTTTTTTTTTGTGAGGGGGGAGGAGAGGGGGGTTGTTTTAATTTTTCAAAAAATGATACCAAGCCAAACTGCAGTCCTCTCTTACGAGTGTTGACCCTATCTGAACAGAGTCCAAACTTGGAGTGGTTGGAGATGCAAAGTTAATAAACTAAATCCAGAACTGCCATAAAACGCACGTTGTGATCCCATTTCCTTTTCTACTCATACATAGTGTTTCCAGAACTCCCTAATGCTGGTAGTAACTTTAAGCTATTTTAAATAATCACTTTTAAAGGCGAGGCATAACACATTTATTGGATTTTTCTCCCCCCTGCCCCAACCTCTGGAATGACCAGAAACAAAAATTCCATTTTCAGAATAACATAGGTAGGTGAAAATGAGTCAGATCCCTCCATCTAATGCACCTCAAACTGCAATGAAAGGAAAACTCTATGAATGACCAGAAATCTCACTCTCTACCTCCATTAATCCGTGTATAGTGTCTGACAGGCCATTAATCCGTGGCCTGTCAGACGCTATATACAAAGGCAAGACTAGCACTTGTAGCAAGGGATGACTGTGACAACAGTTATTTTGTGTTATGGACCTGAAGGTCTAACCACACTGTACCAAAGAAGCATTTCCCACCAACTTCTACAGGTGAGGATTCATACCCTTAAAGAATAGGGACTGTTGCAACTCTTAAACCAAATGACTTTCTTTGCATGAGAAAAACGGCCAGCCAGTATCTACCGGGCCAAACGTAAACCAAGAAACGATGATGATATGTGCAGCCCTGCCCAAACAGCAGTTGCATTTTGCAGAGTGATCCTGATTTTGTGTTAGCTGTTGCTATGCAAGAAGTTAGACTGTCATCCTGTTCTTGCCATTTGTAGGGCAGTAAAACTACCTTTAAGATATATTAACCTATAAAATGGGCAACTATCCAGACAACATATCACCATACTATTGATTTGCAGCATAGGATCTTACAATTAGGCAATTTTGTTTTCTTTTTGATCTTGCTTTTCAACACATAAAAAAATTAGAAGTGATAAGGATTCTAACAGTTACATTTTATATGTAAGCAAGGCATCAGAAACACAAGAATCCTGGCCTGGAAGGCACGGTACTTGATCCATCTTACAGAAGGTTTGCATGGCCTTAGCTAAAACTTCAAAAAATTGTGATATGCTAAGATTTAAAAAAAAAAAAAAGAGTTCTATAACTGAGAAGTTCTAACCAGAACAAATTCCTCTGAAGCTATTTCAGCTCCCTTGAATGAATGTCTACTTGCTCCGTAAGATAAAGAGAAGGGGATATCAGCTCCAAACCTAATTCAATTGTCATCCTAAAGAACAAGGTGATTGTATAGAGCTCTATAGGTATCTATGTAAGAGATGGATCAACACACACACACACACACACATACATATATATAAAATAGCTACCTGATCCTTATACAAACTCCTTAATGGAAATTTGTATTACTAGGTATTAAAATTCAATACTTTTGCTTCAGTCTGTCAGAGGAGGTTGTGTATATATCATCTCTCTGGGATATTAGTGAACTCAATCTTCTTATAATGTGGAAAAAAAAAAAAAACCCTACAATCAGCTCAGCAAAGTCCTACAAAAGTCAATGAAGCTCTAGCAGAACCTCTCTTCATTCATTCAACTGCAGGACTAGAACCAATTTTAGTGCATCTGTCATCATCCTTTACGAACATCACTCTGCTCAGTTGCAAGTCTAATGCAACCTTGCAATCACAGGTCATTTAGGCAAGATATAAAATCAAGACCTTGGTGATTTTAGATCCAACAGTACATTTTGTGTATTATTAAGTTTCAGACCTTAAATAAAACTAAAAGCTTAATTACAAAATCTCACTGTAGTCTCAATTGATAGCTGAGGCACACTGCCACTTCCTTTCTAATGCTGACTGGGTAATCAGTTGCTGAATTATAACTCTCAGACAGTAACACTTTGATCGAGCCCCCACATCGACTTAAGTAGAGTTGCTTTACTGCTGGAGCCACAGTCGAGAGAATTTTCATTACCAGGACACAACACAGCGTCAAGACAAACTGATTTAGCTAGTCAGAAATTATTTAGCCTCAGAGGTATGGGAAACGATTGCTGTGAACATACAGTACATAATAAAAGTTCAGAGGGTATTTATAAAACAAATAGGAACATTTCTGCATTCTAACAGCGTTTTGAGTGGTTCTGCAGCATCAGCCATCAAAGCAGTTTCCGTATAAGCCCTTATCCCATTTTATCGAGTTTCCGCAGCCCGTCTTTTACCTAATACATAGGCTAATAAGGGAAGACATTAATGGGTTCCCATCACTTGCTCAAGATGACAGAACTGAGGGACAGCAACCAAGAGCCCCCATTTCAAATGATCAGGTTTTAACAATACTTTTTATTTTTTCCAGAGGGTTTCACATCATCATTAGAACAAGTTCTGTTAGACATTATCCATTACATCGACACCTTTTCTGCTGGACTTCATACTGTGCATGAGAAATGTTAAAAGGACAGAAGCTAATTTCTAAAATAAGTCAAACAAGTGAAAGCTACTTTTTTTTTTGTGTTACTTTTAATGATTTGGATAGCACAAAAGCCAATTATAGAACTGAGCAATTTAATTCATAGCATTATAAATCAATATTCAAAATAGAAATAGAAATGAGATAAACATATCTAGAGGAAAAAAAAGGAGCTCTTGAAACTAATATTTAGGCTAGAGTTCTACCTAGAAGAGAACAGCAATATCACAGCCTTGGAGAAAGGACCACTTGATTTCAGCTGATTAATGTGTTGCTATTTCAAAGGGCCTAATAACTACAAGCTAAAGCTCTGGAGGTTTGGAAGCCGTTTCATCTGAAAATCATTGAAGAGGGGTCCAACTGTTCCTGTCAAGAAGCATGGAGTTTGAACAACCATGAGAGTGGCCCTTTTGACAGCAGTACAAAAGATGAGAGAAGGCAGTCTCAACCAAAAGTAAAAACAAACCCTTAGAAACACGTTTCAAATCTGGTTTTTCTGCCCCTCTGGTTCCAATTTAGAATCTGACTATTAAGAACAGATTTTAGATGGGTGTCTACTCAAGTATGCCCATAAAACATTTGTCACCAGCAACCCCACAGTCATGGGATGGAATAAGTTTTCAGAGGTTTACAAATCTAGCATTAGACAGGATTTTCTGTGCAATTTTTCTATGAAATGATTATAACTTTTTAATTGTAATTAAAAAATAGAAGTGGTTCCCTTTGTCCTGGCAGGTCTCAAGAGAGGTAAAAAATGCTGCGTGTTGTGTGACAAAATAATTCTTGTAAAACAATAGTAATGGGAGAAGTAAAAAGGCATACTTCCCATCAGATGGAAAAAAATAAAAGTGAAAGAAGGTGAAATGCATGCAAAGATCCTATGGCAAAATGTGACTCTGAGCCCATTCAGGCTCCAATGATAATGAAAAGCCTCAACAGTGGAGCCGTGAAAAAAATTATTTGAAACGCCAAGTCTCAAAACCACACACAATTTGACTGAGCTCCAAACAGCTTTGTCAAAAGTTTCCTTACCATTTATGAACACGGTATATGCAATACATAAAGTTGAGAGAAAAACTTGAGCTAATATAGCTGTGAATGTCCAAAATAACCTGTTTTGGACTAAACCAAAACACTGATTTTGATTGGAGACACAATGACATGCTCTTCTCCATTTGCAGGGGAGAAGAATGACATTTTTCTAACCTATCTCTTGGTTACGTAGTCTACTCAAATTGCTACGTACACACAAATGCACTCTGTGAAAGAGGAGAAATTTCTGCAGCTGGATATCCAGGGACAAACTCTCTAGCATTCTTTTTAAGCTTCTCTCCCTCTGCTCCAAACAAAATCCAAGATAATAGTCAATAATGTAAGATACTGGCTCCCCAAAAGGGCATTTGAATCCCTTGGAGGCAGTAAGTCTGTCGACAGCAAATTATTTCTGACAGATACTTATTCCTGCGCTCAGACAGGGAGAGTAGAAGAGAGTGGATGCATGCACATATGCGTGTGTATACATAACATATATATATATGTTCGTGTGTGTGTATATGCATGTGTGTGTGTGTGTATCTATATATAAATATATAGATATATATATGTATGTATGTATAAAAAACTTCCCCTTCAAGGTTTTCCACAATCTGGACATC